ACCGAGGCTCACAGATAAGGACGTTTTACAGGCAATTCTTGAGCCATGGCGGAAATACAAAACACTTTCCAAAAATATGCCACAGCCTTTAGACATGCTAATATTACATTACAAACATAATGTTAACAGGAAAGGTAAAGCAACACTGCTGGAGGACCAATGTGTAGCATCTATACCATCATTACAGCAACAAACACACAAATAAATCTTAAAATATTGCTCAGAGCAAGCTGTCATGGTTTATATCTAATGCTTAAAAAATGCTTGTAGCAATCTTGATATTTAAGAACATGGATGATGTTGGCAATAGAGGGGGAGGTATTTGGTAAATCTTGCACATAGATTCCTACCAAGAAAACATTTTAGGGTATTTTATTGTAGACTGCCTTTTAGCATACACTTGTTAAACATACATACATACATACATACACTTAAAGGAGCAGTTCACCCATTTCAACATTAATCTTTATTGAAAGTGGGTCATATATGTAGTTAAAATGTAAAATAAATTTTGAATCTGGTGCCCTCTTGACCAAGAAAAGGCAGAAAATAACTTTAGGGCGCATTTGTATGCAAGACAACAACTCCCACAATGCACCACATTGCACAGCTCCGCAAGCCACTCCCACTAATTCAGAACAGGCCACACATCAGAGTAATCACTCTTCCGTCAACAAGGCTAATGTTATCTGCCACCCGAGTTTGAAATTCATTTCACACAAAATGTCTAGTTAGTTGGCTGTGGCGAGCAGGACGAGGGCGACATGAGAGCGGCGCGAGGCCGGTGGCGTGACGTGAGTGATAATAAACGACACCTGTGAGACGCACCGGTCTTGCATCTCTCACGGAGGAGCGACGACAGTGCAGATTGAGAGAGGAACAGGCCTGATTTTATGTTGTGTTTTGTTTCTGTTGTGTGTAAGGGGATGTTGGCTTATACTTTTGTTTTGTATTTGTTTATTTTACTATTAAAATGTTTAAATGCTCGTCGGTTCCCGCCTCCTCCTTCCAAAAACAACAGTTTTATGTGCCTCGGCTGCTCTTAACTATATTGCGGATCGTAAAGACAGCCACGAACATCGGATTCGAGCAGAAGAATTTCAAAATCCTCTTCTTCCATATCATGTTTAGTTTCTTCCGTCATTATCATAACTTCCTATCTCCACAGCGCTTGTTAGCTTAGCTTCCAAACAAGATAATCAAGTTGACATTGATTTCAGTATCTGCAAGTGAAGTCCCACCCACTGATCTGTTATAGGTCTGTAGTGTGAGTGGGTCGCATCCCCTGGAATAATGATGAGCTAGTGTTTGTAGTCTCAACTCTTATACAAAGAAATGTGACTTCCTGCTTTTTATGATGCAAAATGATGATTTTTACGTCATAAAAAGCAGGATGTGGAACACTTAAATACTATTTCTCCCATCTCAGGGGAAAATAAGGGAATAAACCATGACCATTCAAAAATATGACTGGGTTTCTAAAGATACAAAGCTTAATGCAAATGGGTGAAGTGTCCCTTTAACACTTTTTTTTTGCTTTCTGTTCATCAAAGAATTGGCTTTATGCACAGCTGCACTACTTCCTGAACTTAAGCCAGCTCCTTGTTTGCTGTCTGCCATTATTGACCAAATTAATTAATTCAGGTGTGCCTGACCTCACGGCAACAAAATAGTAGTCACGGTAACAAAAATCAGACATACCCGAATGAATCAAGTTTGGCCAATAATGGCAGACAGGAAATAAGGAGGTAGCTTAAGTTCAGGAAGTAGTGCAGCTGTGCCTAAAGCCAACTCTGAAAGAAAAGTATGTTTCCACAAACATTAGGCAGTGCAACTATTTTCAACATCAGCAAATCAGCACATTAGAGGGATTTCTGAATGATTTCCAGCTTTGCCCTTTTCACTGGAATAAAATTACATTTCAAAACATATTCACATAGAAAATGTTTGTTTAAACTGTATTAGTATTTCATAATATTACTGTTTTCACTGTATTTTTGATTAAGTAAATGCAGCCTTGGTGAACAGAAGAAACATCTTTCAAAAACATTTAAAAATCCTACTGACCCCAAACTTCTTAATTGTAGTGCATGTCATTATGCTTTACCATTACATTTTATGTTTTTATTTGGCTGCCAGTCATCCAACTGAAACAACTTAGAAAATACAACTTTCCAAAAGAATTATGGTTATAAAAACATCATGAAAATACACAAAGATGTCCACTCAAGGTATCTGTCATTACTAAATCGTTTAAAAGCTGCTTACTTTTAAAAGCGAATGAGAGAAAAAAAAAAACATAAAAATACCGGCAGTAATCTTTGAAGAGAAGATGAAATCTGGCTAGATTTAGCTAGATTTTCATGTGTGTGCATGAGTGGTGCACCTCTGCGGTGGGTCTCAGCAGTTGTGTTAGTGTAAGCGTATAAGTGTGTCTGTTCACCTACGGGATGTGAATGAATGCTGAAATAAGCAAATTAATCAAGGCTGAATGCATGTGCTGGGCTAGAGAGGGTTTTTTAATGAGTGTGCAGACTGAACACTAATGAGCTGACTCTAATAAGGGGATCTAATGAGTGAGATGCCACAGTAGCAGGTACCCAGCGCATGGTGTGTGCTGTTTTGTGGGGCACGTGCACATAATTTAGGCACATAAGTGTGTGCTAGGGGAAAATCTAAACATATTAATGTTCTTGGTAACACATTAAAAGGCCTTTCATAAATCATTCATTAAAGTTATTAACAAAAATTCTTACTGATGCATGTACATTCAATATTTGCAGAAAATGAATCAAAAGTGACAGTAAAGTAATTAGTAATGTTACTATTATAATTCTACTTGAAATAAATGCTGTTCATTTGAATTTAATATTCATGAAAGAATCCTAAAAAAAAAATGTATTATAGTTTCCACAAAAATGAAGCAGCACAACTGTTGCCTTTCGGGGAAACTCGCACTGCGTCGATACGACACTTTGGGGAATGCCCCCAGCGTAGCACGTCTGAAGTATTAACGAAACTAATCCAATCCTGATTGGTGCTGCATCATGACGTAACATGTGATGGTATACACAGAAGCTAAAAAGGGACTTCAGCCAGGCACTGTGTACAACTGTCTGTCATATTTTATGTTGTCTGTCCTGTGGGAACTTGAACTGTTACCATAAGCACAGCTAAAAGCGTGTGTCTTCCTGCCCAAGTTAAACTTCGGGAGGTGACATATACTGTTTGGATGCAAGGTATACATAGTCAGCTCTTGAGGGTGCTGGGTGTGTTCATTGACAAATATCTTGAAGCGTACAGCGAAAGAAAAAGACGTGCGCTTTCGGGTGTTTCAGCCTCACGCCTATTGACTTTCTTCTCGAGGGAAGAAAGACGATTATAAATGACTCTTATCTCGCATTGTCGAGGCAGCGTAGATTACAAGACCGGTGTACAGAATGATCCGGCTTTGAGGAGGTCGATATTTTTATTCAGCCTATCATTAAGACAGGGTTTCACTTGTCTGGGGTCGGTTTCACAAAGCCATTTTAGACCGGTCTATAGTGTTAGACAAGTCTAACTCTGTTACCTTGGCAACCAGCAGTAACAATCAGTTACATTACAAACAGCCAAAAGAAAATAGAAAATGGCCCTTTCCAAATTAAACATATCTTAATCATAATCTCTCTAAATCCCTCCTTTCTGAGAGCTACTCTGCTCTGATTGGCCAGATGGCCCAGTCTGTTGTCATTCGTCTAAACCATACAGACCCTATCGGAAGCTACACGCCATTACCATAACTGGTAGTCAGCTCTGTGTGGACACTTCCTAAAGCTCAGTGATTGAACTGTAAAGACAGTAACAATGACGCCAATTTCACAATATCAATCAGAATGCGAGTCCGATGATGAAGATGAAACATTGGAAGAACTAGTTATTCAACCAGAACCTCCATCGCAAGGACGACTTCAGCAGGACATTTCTCAGTGATACACTACTCAGTTTGAGGTCTATTATGAAATTTTTCAACTGTAATTCCTGTCCATCAACAAATTGATGTTTATATTTCTAATTTATTGCAGTGTCTATGCAGGAACTATAAAAATAATGGTGCATTTGAGGGTGGAGCACTAATGTGAATGACTGATGTAACAAACGTTTGTAAAACAAATCGAAGTAGTAAGAATGACAGACATTCTGCATTAATAGACACAGTTTTAGGTAATAGCGGCCCACAGCTGCTTAGCAGAAGTATTTTAGTAAGACACTCACAGTAATAACGTGAGTTAGCCGGTTAGCCGGAAAATTAGCAAGCTAGTCCAAATAAACTAAGCACTGACCCATCTTTCTAGAGCAAGCGTTTTGCGAATCCTGCATTGAACTCTGAGTTTTGAGAAGCAGTTGGCAGTAAAAAAACCTGTTGTGGGCTGGCCAAGTTGTTCGCGGGCAGTAGGATTCGAATTTTTAAAAAAAAAGGCTCGTACGGGCGGTTCAGAGTCATTTTTTTTTTCTTTTGGGAGACAATAACTATTTATCGTGCACTTTCGACGTTACAACTTTGCACAACATTCACAAACAGATATATTACACACATCATGAAAGGGAATTTTCAAAAAACCCACAATAGGGGCACTTTAAAATACATTCAAATTAAAAAACACTGCAATATTTCACAATATTACTCATAATATTGTGCATAAGCATAAGCTTTAAAACATTGGTGAGCTTTAAAAACATTAAACAAATCTAATAGTATATACTATAAAATGTATTTTATTATGTATTTGAAGAGTTCAGATGCAAAAGCCTTTAAGTGCCATTTGAAATTTTCTTCTAAAATGATCATTTTTATCAAGCCTGTATATTTAAGTTCAGTAATTTCACTTAAATGGCAATGAAGATTACCTATTAATTGTCATTTAAGTGAAATTACTGAACTGAAATATACAAGCTTGATAAAAATGGTCATTTTAGAAGAAAATTTCAAATGGCATTTAGAGGCTTTTGCATCTGAACTCTTCATTTACAGTATATAATATTTAAAACGATATAGTTGTTATTATAAAGTGTTACCATATTGTACCATGTTTTACTGCTGTTCTTATGAAAAGGATATTTGATAAGTGTATGAGTACATATCAGAAATAAATTTGTTTTTTACTCAGTAACAAGCAGCAGTAAGTTTCAGAATTCATTTGGACATTTTAAACCTTTTATATTTGCACAATGAAGCATTTGAAAGCCCTTAACAATTAGGGACAGTTTCCGATATAACACACACACAAAAAAGAAAAAATCTTATATTTGAACTAATATGTCTGGAGTTGTTATTCTAATAATCTGCACCAAATAATGGCTAAAAAGGCCATTTTATAGACTAACTATAGCTACAGATCTAACTTTTATATCTTCTTGTCCTTTATTTATATGGTATTACACTCACTTTTTAATACATTTTTAAAATAATCAAAATCCTTAATTTGAGTAACTGCAGTCCAGACAATTCTTAGTCAGTAAGTCTCCTTACCCTGATCTAATGGTGTAGTGCTCATATTTCTGAACTCTTCTTCAAGGCAAGCCAGAGCCAGGCAATCATCCTCATGCTCATTAGAGTCCTGGAGATCAAGGTGCTCCACAGTCTGGACCTCCCTGATCTCCTGCGCGACACGAGACAGTGGGCGGTTTGATGAGCCAGGCCGATGAGGATCGATGCTCGGGGGCCGAAAAGATATGGGAGAACGTCTGCTTTTGGTGCCTAAAATGAATAATAATACATTGATGAGAATACAAATGCATGACATTTAAGAGAAACAATAAGAAAATGGCTGCAAACACACCATGATGAATCATTCATGTCTGTGGCCCAACCAGGGGAGATTTTCCAGTGCAATGACATAACTTGCTGCTTAACTACCATAGTACGATGCATCATTGAAGAAATCAACTAGCTAGTTTCCCGAAACCATTTGGTCGCAAATTTGACATTCAACCACTTTGGATAATAGGGTAACGCTGGTGGTGGAGTAATAACTACTTTTAATGGATCCATTGGAGATCTTATTAATGCTAGATGTTTCGCTATAAATTAGGGACATGGCATCTGAGGGCTGATTCTCATTTTACTCAGTTACAGCACAGAGAGAGCGCTCATAAAGATAATAAACGATATTTGCTTAAATACTGATACAGGCAAATGATCAGTACTGGTACTACTCGACCTCAGTGAGGCATTTGACACTGTCGATCGCGACATACTTCTTGACAAGTTGGAAAACTGGGTGGAGTTTTCTGGGATAGTCCTAAAATGGTTCAGGTCATACTCAAAAGGGAGAGGTTATTATGCGAGTATAGGAGACCATGAGTATTGGAGACCATAAGTCTGAGTGGACATGCGGAGTCCCTCAAGGCTCAATTCTTGCACCACTCCTATTCAACATGTACTGTATAGGCTCCCAATGAGCCAAAGAACCAAATTGCTTAACACAGCTATGCAGACGACACACAGCTCTACTTCCCTCAAAAGGTGTAAACTCTGGAAACAGTGATTAATGCAAATTTCCATCCCATCTTCAAAGCTTGTATTCCTATAAGTAGAGGTGGATCAGCTGAGAGTCAGCTGATGCGAGCTTGACTAACGTGACCTGCCAGAACTGACACTACACTTGATTTAGTATACGTTTAGGTTTCTTTCTTGGTCTTGAGTATCTAAAGAAATGTCTCAAGAGGCTCGGGGCGATTTGTAGCTCAGATCAGCCAGTGAAGCTGAATGTCCTCAAGACACTAAGCATCATGGATTTTTCTCATGTCAGGTAGCTTATATATCTCACAGCATTTGATGTTATTGTATTGATTATCTGATTATGTAATTGGCATGATACATTTACCTGACTAATAATAAATCGTTACATTTGGATTTATTCTGACCTACTCTGAAATGATTAACTTTATAGATTGCGTTGTATCCACTGTTACCGCAAAGCTGCGTCAGATTATTAACGGACTAATGTCCAGTTTTGAGTGGAGCATAGGGCACACCAACTTCAAATTTAGAGTACCAGCTAATATTAATTCAAGTGTACTTTCGATGTAAAGACAAAAAGGGAATTTCCGTTTAGGACAGCAAAATGTTGCTCGACCAACCTAAATAGGGTGAGTCTTACTTCTGTTTAATGTAATGTTACTCTAGTGGGAAACCATGGCATGACCAAACCAAAGCTACTATCAGAGAAGTAATATGTCGGCTTGTATCTGTAGTTAGGCTAATGGCCTTGACCTCTGATTGAAGTGAACGTTACTTTAATTGAAGAGTATACATATCCATGGGGGGCTATACATAAATTTAACAACCCGTTCTCATCCTAGGGCGTCATATAGTGTCGCTTTTGAAATTTTGTCTAAATCCAACGCACATGGCACACTTTAGCGTCAATATAACATGCACAGAGCTTTGTTTGGTTATGAGTAAGTTTTGTTCTGGGGTAGGGTTAGGGTTAGACCACTAGGAGGCGCCTTCTGGCCCATATATATCTACGTCTCATATTGACGAAACGTCAAAAGCGTCAGTATATGATGCCTTGGGATGAGAACGGGCTGAAATTTAGTGAGTGTTTAGTGACCAAAAACGGTTATTTTAATATTAACGGCCATGTGAGACTTTGGCACCCGAATGAACGAGGATAATAAGAGTAAAGAGTTAAATAGAATAATTAAATGTGTTGCTAAACTAATTGAATAAATGATCACTAACTAGCTGGGATTCTAATCTAAATTTGAGGTCTTGATAAAATGGAGTCAGATAAAAGTTTAAATGGAATTTACATTTACATTTATTCATTTAGCTGACGCTTTTTTCCAAAGCGATTTACAATTGCTATATATGTCAGAGGTTGCACGCCTCTGGAGCAACTAGGGGTTAAGTGTCTTGCTCAGGGACACATTGGTGTCTCTCAGTGGATTCGAACACAAAAGTCACTTTTGATCAATTTAATGCGTTCTTGCTGAATAAAAGTATTTTTATTTAAGAATGTTACTGATCCCAAACATTTGGATGGTAATGTAGAAGTGAGCAATAATTATTCATTTAACTGAAAAGATTTATTTAAAAAATAGCAGTTCACAACTAAAATGCCCAGGTGACATACTGTTGCAGGGGTGATTGTGTATTAGCTGATATCGCTTCCCACGATTTGGACTCGGGAGCCAACGGCTTTGAGTGTCCCCCGATGCACAAGGCTCATTCTAGCGTGTCTAACCTGACACAAGTATACGAGACAAAAAGAGAATGAACGGGAGAGAGAGAAAGAGAAAGGCAGACAAGAGAGCATGGACGGATATCTGACGCTTTGATTTGCACCAGCTGAAATCACAGCTGTCATGCTGTTAAACAGATTATTTTTCCCTCCTCTGCAGACCTGCGAGTGATGAGCTGAGAGGCAGAGAGGAAGATTTGTCGAGAGGTAGAGAAAGCAAGACTGATAAACTGAGCTAGCTAGCTGAGCTGATCTGAGCTGAGCTGAGAGATTGGGGAGAGCACCGTTGGACGCATTCCCTGCACTCCCGTATGCGGCAACCCACGGTAATCTCTTTATGAAACCTCAGCCGTGTGTGCAGGCACAGAAAGCTCAGGAATCAGCTCGGCTTTAATTACGGGCGGGAGCCAATAAATCATGCCATTGCTGAGGGTTAGCGCGACTATTCTACAGCCATGTCATTGATGTCCCGTTGGCCATAACGCCGTGTCCGAAGGGTTGGAAGACGCTCTCTGTAAATAATCGTTTAGTCACAGCAAAGATACAACATCAGACAGGCTCAACATTTTATAATCTGGACTAAGTCTGCACACAGAAGAAAAAGAAAGAGTAGAGCTGAAGGTTTTATTGTACTCAGACTGTTTCCTAGTGTATGACAAGGGCCTAGATGTGCTAAATAGACCTTAGGAAGCGATTAATATGATTGATACCTTCCCTTGAAGAGATAGTTTGCCAAATAAAGTAAAAAATCTGTCTTTTCGTCATCTATTACAAACCAGTTTGGAATAGATGCACACAAAAATTAAATGTTCTTGTCCATTCAATAGAAGCAGACAGTGACCAGCGCTTTCAAACTTGAAACAGGATGAAAAAGCACCATAAAAGTAGTTTGTGCATTGCATTATAAGAAATTCATTGAAAATCTTGCACTGAAATCTCATTTGTAAATCTGCATCTTCAAACTTTGGGGTCAGAAGTAAGTAATTTTTATTTATTTATTTTTAAAGAAATTAATTTAGCAAGGATGAATTAAATTTATCAAACGTGACGGAATATATATATATATATTTTTTTTTTTCAGATTTCTATTTCAAATTAACGCTGTTCTTTTGAATGTTCTATTCATCAAAGAAACCTGAAAAAAATGTATCATGGTGTCCAAAAAAAGTTACAGAATAAAGTTGTTCTTTGCAGCCCCCTTTTCATTCACATCAAATTAAATTTCTACACACGTCTATTGTTGTTCAAGTAATGAAGACTATTTACCTGAGAAGCACAGCCTCTGTGATGACATTCTGCCGTGGCATGGTGTGAATGCACGAGGCGTGCTACTAATGGGTCCACCGTTCACCAGCGCAGTGACTAGCCCCTCATCTGCGTGATGCTGGAGACTGCTGCTGGATCTCCAGAACCCCTGCCCTGCAACTACAGTACCAAGAAAATGATTCACGAAAACAAACAGCAAGACAACATTCATCATGTACTGCAGGGTGAACAACGATCAGAACATAGAGTTTACTAGAAGGCAAATGTGTTACTCTGCATTACAACTCTAAATGTTCACCCTGAATGAGTAACCTTCAAACTTCAGAAGGCAAAGAGTACCACATTAACACAAACACAAATAGATGGAAAGGATTTTTGTGCCAGCAAATATAAGTTGGCCCTTCTTTTGCAAAACTCTCTCTCTCACACACCTCTGCATTCACTTCTCTTCGTCACCAACTAAGCTTAAAAGGTAAATATTAGGTTACACTTTATTTACGATAGTCTATTTTAGACATAACTGTTAAGAACTTTGCAACTACATGTCAACTAACTCTTATTAATTTGCAAAAACTCATAACTCTGATTAAAGTATAAGTAGACTGTTAAATGAATAGTTCACTTTTGCTGATAATTTACTCAACACCCATGTCATCCAAGATATCCATGACATTCTTTCTTCAGTCGAAAAGAAATTAAGGTTTTTGATGAAAATATTTGTTCTCCATATAATGCACTTTACTGGTAACTAAATGGTTCAAGGTCCAAAGGACAGATTCAGTGCAAACTGTTCAAAGGGCTTTAAATGATTCCAGATGTTGAATAGGCGAAAGAATCAAGCGAAACGATTGCATATTTAAAAAAAGAAGAAAAAAATGGTAGCCTTGCTCTGTTCTGTGATGTGCGTTCATGACTCTCCTGTTCAAACTCGTTGATCAAAATGAACAAATCTTTTTTCGTGTCATTTGGTTCATTCAATGAACGAAATGAACGAATTGACTCAGAAAAAGATTTGTGCATTTTGATGAACGAGTTCAAACAGGAGAGTCACGAAAGCGCATCACAGAACAGAGCAAGGCAACCATTTGAGCTTATAAAACTTAAACACTGTTTTTTAAATAAGCAATCGATTCGCTTGATAAGACCCTTATTCATCGCCTGGAATCGTTTAAAGCCCTTTGAACAATTTGCAGTTTGCACTGAAACTGTCTTTTGTACCTTGAACCATTTGGTTACCAGTAAAGTGCATTATGGAGAAAAATCCTGGAATGTTTTCATCAAAAACTTTAATTTCTTTTTAACTGAAGAAAGAATGACATGGACATCTTGGATGACATGGGGGTGAGTAAATTATCAGCAAAAGTTGTTTTTTTTTTTAAAGTGAACGACTCCTTTAGGTTAGGGTTAGTAGAATAAATCGACAAGCACTTACAAAGTAAATTATAGGATCTACTACTCTAATGATTGGTAGTTGAATATAGTTGCAAAGTAGATTGTGGAGTATCGAAATCAACTGTTAGCAAATATTATGCGTAATATTTAATCTGATAATACATAATTAACTTTCATAATACCAGCTAATTGAAAATACTCTGCCTTATTTTCTTGGAACTTTGGATCCTAAAGAAGAAGAGAAAAAGAAATATAGCCAATAATGTCAAAAGAAGAAGAAGCTATTTAGGTCTAACTACTAACTACTAATCTCTGATTTTTGAATTAGTAGAAATAGTGCTCAGTTGAATGAGGTAGTTCACTATAAGCTATTGTGAAATCAGTAACTACTATTTTTCCATACCTCCCAATTTGGACTACTTAGAACGACATGTTCATAAATAATAATAGTAATGTACAATGTATAATTGATTCAAAAGTAAAGGAAACCCACTAGTAGTAATCAAATATAACCAAATACCAATAGTAAATTGCTAATTATTTAGAAATGTGTTCTAAAGCGAAAAGCATGATAACTCCCTAGTAAGGACTGAAGTCATTGTAAGCTTTTGATGTTTTTGGTATCACTTCCTTTTTAGAGGGACTAATCTAACTTGAGATTCAAGGACACAATAGGACACTCCTTGTGAGCTTTTAACCCTTAACCTATTGGTTACCACCTTGACTTTAGCCCAGCACACACCCAACAGCATGACTGTAGACAGTGACTGTTTGAAGGTTAAACATGTTTGCCTTCTATTGCCATCTTAAACGCCCACTGTAATTAAGCCTTTTTCCAACTGACTGGCCAGTGCTCCTGTCAGTGCACGTCAGGGATTACAGATGCACAGACAGGCCGATAAAAACAACTCGACTGTGACAGAGAAGAAGAAAAAAAGATGAGAAAAGGAAAAGACTTTGCTGGGAAATGATGAAGACACTTATCAGCCAATGAAAACAGAGATGACAGAGACAGAATTGAAACAGGGACTTTCATTAACCTTGAAGCTCAATGAACCAAATATATGCTTCATTTTTGCCAACCCAATACGAATACATCATTTGTTTTCTAATAATTGAGATAAGACATTTGGAATGTGGCTCTTACATTGTTCCAACAATAATATATACTGTACAAACCACAGCCATCTCTCTTAACAGTGCATTCTGTGCAGAGAGTGTTATTTAAATACCCAATTATTCCATACTTAGATGGATTGGCCATTGAAGAGAGCTGCTAGTTAAAAGACGAGTATAAAATATGCCTCTTTTTTCTACATTCATTATTTCCTGGAATATCCTTTAGCTCCGCAGAGTTAATGGGCTACCTTGGCGAAGCCATTAGCCTGACTGTAAACACTAATATTTCTCCCTAAACAGCTTAATTTAAAGCCGTTATTAATATGCTAATTAGCCCCACCTCCACTCACTCATGCCAGCTGACAGATTCACTTGGGCCAACTTTCGATACATGCTGCACAATGTCGGACACATAACAGTAATTAATATGATTAGCCTTTTGCTTGACTATGTTTTCAAACAGCTAATAATGTGTTGCTAACGTTACACAAACAATGTTCCCATTCGCCCTCTTAGAGTCAGACAGCCGTCTTCTAACAATCATCAAAAACGCTTTGAACAACTGAGAACGTCAGTGGAGAAAGGCATATAGTTCATCATATCATCGTAATATACATCATACACTCGCCATATTGCCAAATTTACCAGATTTTTTCAGATCACTATAAAAATATACCGGAATAACCTGGCATCTTTTGAAACTCACCTACTTCGTAGTAGTTAATGATATGATAAAGCCTGCCGCCGCGATGACGTGATTGGTTACAACTTAAAGTAAAAAAAAAAAAAAAAACAACGATTTCAAAGCGCATTTTTTAGACTGTCTATGGATCACTTCAGTTTTCAAGAGAAAATATTCAGCAATGGTGTTGATTTATGAATTTGTGCATGGTTAGTCTTAAAACATCACATGTTACAAACATCACATAGACATAAACGACATTAAAAACTTGATTTTCACCACACGAGGATTTTAACTAATACCCAGGGCCCTATTTTAACGATCTAAGCGTATTAAAAGTGCAGGGCACAATTGCACTAAGGGTGTGTCCAAATCCACTTTTGCTAATTTAACGATGAGAAAAATAGTCGGCGCATGGTCTAAAAGGGTTGTCCCGATTCTGTTAATGAGTAATGGGTGTTTTTTGGGCTTAGCATGAAATAAACCAATCAGAGTCTCATCTTCCATTCCTATTAAAAGCCAGTTGCGCTCGCACCTTGGCGGATTGCTATTTACATGATGGAATTTTCCATTATATCTTTATGTGCACAATAATAATCTTACACATTGTTATCCTTTAATTTTTTATATTTTGCTAGTTTGTGTAATAAGCAGATAGGCCCACATTACTAATGCGCTCTATAACAAAAAAAAAAAAAAATAGTGACTTTAGGCAGTGGTGGAGGAAGTACTGAATCTCAGTACTTAAGTAAAAGTACAAATACCCAGATAAATATTTACTTTAGTAAAAGTAGAAGTAACACAATGACAACCATACTTAAGTAAAAAGTACTTTATTTTAAATGTACTTTAAGTATTAAAAGTAAAAGTACTTGCATAACAATTTATTATCTTAATGTCTATTTTCTAATGATTAATAAAACATTTAATTCTAACTCATTCAACCTAATAGCCTACTCCTATAATGATGGAAAAAAAATGTCACCATTTCTGAAACAAGCTTGCAATTAGGCAATATCATGCTTATCCTTACTATATGTTAATAACTATGTTTGGTAGTAAACGCGATTCATTTATGGTGTAATTCTGAACCTCTTGGCTTGCCATAATCCTAACCAAACCAAACATATATTACACACGGTGTGTTTCCTATGCACGTAAAAACAAATTTTCGCGTATGAGTTGCATGATTGCGTGTGAGACGCATTTAGTGTGACCGGGTTGATACTGTATCTATGGCAACCAAACGTCACTGGTGAGACAACGTGCAACGAACGGACGGTCAGATTACGTTTTGGCAGGGGGAAAACTGATCAGAAAATGTAACGAAAATGTAATAGAAGTTGTAGAAATGTAGTGGACCATTTCCTCTCCAAAAAAACTGCTCTCTAAAATATACAAAATTATCTCAAATCAACTTCAGACTATATACTTACCAACAATAAAATGGGAAAATGATCTTTCAATAGCCCCTGATGCCAACTTCTGGACCCAAATCTGTAAAAACATCTATCTCATGTCCAAAAATGCGAATCTTCAGTTAATACAATACAAAATACTCCACAGAACACATTACACAGGCAATAGATTAGCTAAAATGGGTTTCACATCAGAAGTTTGCACACATTGCAATCAAAATTCTACAGATACATACATCCATGCAACCTGGCACTGCACTCCAATCAAACACTTTTGGGAAGAGGTCACACAATCACTATCCACTATAGTTGGCTGCCACATCCCATTGTCGCCTTCCCTTTGCTTGCTGGGGGACCTCACAATAATCACTGATAAAACTATAAACTCTAAAATACTCCTCATAGCGCTAACCATCGCCAAGAAAACTATCCTCATGAACTGGAAAACCAGAAATAAATTACACATTAACATTTGGAAAAATCTTATAACAGACTTCATTGCAATGGAACTCGCATCTCCCCTTCATAATTACACATCTGAAACTGAC